CTACATGCAAGCTGCGCCACATGTCACAGAGAGGCTAATGAGGGCAGCAAGACACGCAGGTAACCATGGGGAGTATGGGTATTTGTCACTTGATACAGTGCTGTAATGTGTACTCCACGTCGTGTACAGTGTGTACTGTGCTCACACGTTGATGTGCTTGCATGGTTTTGCCACAGGTGCGGGTCCTGGGGGAGAGAGCGCTGGCCAAGTTGTGAATTTGCATCTTGAGTCCGACTCGAAGGCCTTCTGGCAGCGCATGGGGAGAGGGACCACAACGGTGGAGGATCTGTTAGCGAGGCCAGATAGATCCCTGATAGGTGTAGAGTTTAAGTTTCCAAAATGGGAGAGAGGAAAAAATGGCGAGCCTAGAAGAGTAGAAGGAAACGGATGGGGCGGGGAACGCAACCAAGCTGCAGCAACCGTCCTGCCGGGTGAAGGTAAGAACCTAGTTAGATGCTAGTGCGAAACATGTGTGCTGCGTTTAAACACCGGATCCCCAGGCGAATGAATATCGTTCCACCAAAAACTTCCCTCCCCCTCCCAGCCCTGTGGGCCTGATGCTTGTTTCCCCCGCGGCACTGCCAAGACTAAAACGATCCCGTCCCCCCTGCCACCTGCACTTCTATTCTGCCTATTATCTCTCACCAACCCTAAATCATATTTCTGTCCCTATTCGCTGAATTCTCTTCCCCGTCGCACTGCCCGGAATTCTGTCGCCCCCCGCTCTGCCCTGGATTCTTGTCCTTTCCACCCTCCCCCGACCTACCTTGAATCCCTTCCCACTCGACTCTTGAGGGATTCAGTTCCCTCTCAACCATCCTGAATTCTGCACTTCATTCCTAAACTCTCTTCCCCCCATCTCGAATAATGCTTCCGCCCGCCCTAATTCTTGTGAAGAGCGCTGCATGTCAACAGAAACCCCACAAACAAATGAGGACGGACATGGGCCGTGCTTGCCGGCCGAGAACGTGTATGGGGTTGAGGGGGTGAGTGTCGAAGACAATACACAACCGCGAGGCGCTCATTCGAGCGAACAAGCGGGTGGCCCTTCTGAGGGGCCAAACAGGTACAAGCAATAATTGTGTGTTGAAATAATAACCCATATGTTCTTTTCCACATTTATTAATAAGATGGTCAGTAGCACGTGCACACCCTCAGAAAAACCAGTCCAGTTTCTTATCCCGCTTGATTTCTGTGCATGCAGACAGGATGCTGGCAGCGTGACGCGCAAGCGTCGTTGGCCTCGTGGTTGGCCAAACCCCCCAAATTGGGAGGATTTTCCTGCCGACATGGTGTGTTTTCTCGATCCGAGGGTGATGGTATCGTTCTTTTGTGGTCGCGCCTTAGGCACGTGCGTGAGGTCTGCGTGCAGAGGTGCAATGCAACTTGAATCGTGGAAGCGGTCATGGGCATGTCTGGGGTTGATGTGGTTGTGCAATGTTTGCTCAGCCAAGGAAGAATTATGGTCAAGTAGTCGAGTGAGAGATGACCTACCTCCCAGCAAGCGTGGTCCACGTAGTCCGCCATTGATGGGTAAGATGATTGGAGCATTCGCTCTTGCCGGGATCGGGTATCAGCAGATGTGGGAGGTATGTCGCACCCTCGGCGTGCCTAGGCCAGGGCATGAAACATATTACATCGGTGTTAATGATAGGGAGAATGCAGAGATGGATAGGGGGAGAGGGTGAGGGGCGGAGATAATGCATCGGTGGATAGGGGGAGAGGGTGAAGGGCGGAGCAGCAGGAGCGGGTGGAGGACTTTGACGTGGGGGGCATAGAGGCATACAACATGCACAGGGGTGACTGTTGAAGGACGGAGGGTTCTCCTTCGGAATCCCACCTATTCGCTGCAAGTTCTTGGTGAGGAGGGGGAAGGAAGGTTCCATTGCACGCCCCGTGTGTCCTGGCCATAGCAGTTTTATCTCCCTGCCTTTCGCTCCCGGTTCCCATTTCTCCGTCAATTTTTAACCGATCCGGGAGAGGGGAGCACACCCATTTCTTCTGTTCCGCCCATCCCTCCTGTCCCATCCTCTCTTGCCTGCCCGTCCTCTCTTCCCCGTCCCATCCTCTCTTCCGTCCCACATTCCCATCTCCCCCTGCATGTCAGCCAACGGAGAGCATGCTGCAGATCTGTAAAGAGAGTGGCCGAGACCTCGCCAGGGAGGTGAGTCATTGCCCTGTCTGCTCTGCATTGCTCATGCTGTCCGTAGTGCACGGAATGCCCGCCGTGGCCGCCCTGTCCGCACCGCACGCACTACACTGAAAGGCACTTCAAAATGTACAGTCAGCGCTGACCCTAGCACTCTGCACCAATTTAAGCATTCTTGTTTCCCGATCACCTTTCTCCACGTCTCTCCACCTCTCTCGGCCCTCCCGCCTCGATCTGTGCTCAGACCCGCAAGGGCAAGGCCAAGCTGCGCAGCACATCAGCCAAGTCACCACCAGCCATTTCCCTTGCTCCCTGCTCACCCCTTCCTCGCCTAACTCCGTCTCTACAGTACTGGCTCCTTCCTTCGATACCACCTCTTCTCCCCCATCTCCTCTCCCTGCCAACATCGTGCCACTGCCCCCCTCCCCCTGCACAAGCACTTGCTTCCAGCCTGTCTTTCCCCTTCTCCTCTCGCAGCCTACCGTATCCCTCTCACGTGTGGGTAATAATGAGCCATAGCCGCACAAGCTGTGGCAGGGTGACGAACAAAGCAGTACACACCGGCAGCTTCCAGGAGACGCATTGTCTTCAATGGTGCAGCATGGAATGTCTTTCATGCCTGTGCCATAATAAGCGACAGCGGCGTCGCCACTGTATGCTCTACTCGCTCCCCCATGGCTAGAAGCTGGGAATTGAAACATTCCCTTCCCCATCCAGTAACATACTTGACTGCACACAAAGGGCTACTTCATTGATCTGGTTGTCGCTTTGCTGTGATGGTCATCCATCTACCTATCACACTATTGCGGACTGTGTAAAAAGAGTAACACATGTAAATACAATAAGTTGTTCCCGATAACCCTCCCTCCCGCACTAAAAATCAGTAAATTCCAGACTCCTGAGTCGCCAGGTGGACAATTGACGATTGTCTAGCATCGATTGACCTCATCCCAAAATCAATCTCGTCAGGGATGACCCATTCCAGGTTGAACCAGTCCACATCGCCTTGACTACATTTTCTGTAACCCACGCCCGTTGGCTCGGGGTAAAGCGAGCCGATCACGACGTGAATTAGCCATGGCAAAGTCACCTGTGCATACTGATGATCACCTAACAAGGCAGAGTATTGAATGTAGCAACGAAAACGATGGTTCTTTGCCCCCATAGGTTGACCATCCATATCCTCATCCGTGTTTTTTCCCAAGCACACCCTCAGAATGCTCGCCACACTAATTCTCTGACTCCCGGGGCCCTCCTCGTCCGACAATCCGAGCCAATGTCGCGCCCAAGCGTCAAGAACACGATATTGCTTGGCATATCGCGCCTCAAACTCAGATATGGACCACCGTTCTTTTGCATATTGAACCTGTGGGGGTAGTCCCGTTGGTTGCACAACTCTTCGAGATCGAACTCTGGGAAAGGGATGCGTTGTGCTCGCGGCAACCGAACGAGTATGGGCGGAGAGGGTGCCCGTACTTGCCGTGACCATCGACTCCGGTCCACGTCGCCGACCCCTCTCCTCCTCCTCATCCTCGGAACCCTCCTCCCCAACCCTGAATCCAAGCGCCAGCCGTCTCCGAGGAGTACGTCGCCATGATGACATGGCTGATGAGGTGTGTGGTTTAGAGTGTGAGAAACGAGAATATCAGGCAGAAAAACAAGAGAGAGAGAGGGGTTAGGGAGTGAAAGGGGAGGGGGCGGGGGGGTTTCGGTTTCGGATTACGCAAGTCACTGAAGTGAGTTGGATGTGAAGGGGAGGGTGGGCAGGTCAGGAACTGCACGACAGGTCCGGCAGCTGGACGAGGGAAGGAGACCGTATAGTTGGTCCTCCGGATCGGAGGACCATGAGAACGAACTCTGGTAAGGTTTGGAGCAGCGTAGCAAAGGAAGAAAGGGGTGCCAAACCAAAACCACGAGTGAAGGTAGGGGTGCTGGGAAATAAAGGGGCGTGGACTTACAGCGCAAGGACTGAAGCCGGGTTCACAGGCCGCTGTGAAGCAAAGGAAGAAAGGGGAAGAGAGATGAATGGGAGGGGACGGGGCAATTGCGGATGGGAAAGAGGAGAAGTGAGAGGAATAGTGGTACTATGTGTGCGCCGGTGACGGGAGAGGAATAGGAGGGGACGGGGCAAGTGCGGATGGGAAAGAGGGGTTTGCAGATTTAATTACAAAGAGGTTCGGAGGATGGCAAGGGAGAGATGGCAGATGGGAAGTAAGGCTAATAAGAAACTCAGGATGCGAGGGTGCTGCGATGGAAGAGAGGAGAGGTGGGATGGAAGGGATTGAGGATGGGCGACCCAGAAAGGGGACGGCATGGGAGCTAGAATGGCACCCACGTCAACTCGGTATAATGCAGGGGGATTTCCAACATGGGAAGGCGGTGAGGGTGCTCGCGTATGAGCTTGTGGGACGCGGGACCCTAAACCCCTAAACTAATGTGAGAGAAGTAGGAAAGGGAGAGTGATGGTTCAGTGTGGAAAAGGGCAATGGGACGGCTAATAGGGGTGATGGAAAGTAGTGTTAAGGGGCTGTGATTTGGAGGAAAGATAAGGCAGGGAGAGCACGAGAGGAATGAAGCATCAACCGAGGGACCATATTGAACCTGTGTGGGCAGGAAGATTAGGGATGGAGACTGTGTAATAGGTTCTTGAAATGGGACGGCTGGGGGTTGGGAAGGTAGGGGTGCAGAGATGGAAGGGGGGAGGGCTCCCATCTAAAGAACCGGCGTCGGGTGCACGGGCGCTTGAGTAGCAACAGAAGATCGGGGCGAGTGAGCTGGCGTAGTAGGGGATGGGGGAAGTGCGGATGGGAGGGAGGGAATTGCAGAATTGATGTCAAGGTGCTGTGGATGGCTAGTGATGGATGTCAGATTTGAAGACAGAATACTCAGAAACTATGAATAATGAGGTGGGAATCCCAATGTGGGGAAGCTGTGAGGAGGGTGGTGTCAAAACATTTGGGATGTGAGGCAAAAAATAGGGTGATAAACAGGGAGGGAGGGTGACAGCTGAGTGGGATGGAAGGGAGTGAGGGGGCAAAGATGAGTAGAGGGGGACAAGAGGAGCAGAGGAGGGAAAGAGGAGCAGAGAGCGAAGGAGCCTCACAGGAGAAAAGTGGAGCTGGGCGGAAAAAGAGGGGCATAGGGGGAACAGCGGAGCTTCGGGTTGGAAGTGGTGCAGAAAGGAGAAGGACCAGCGGAAGGGGGTAAGATGAGCATAGGGGGACAAGAGGAGCAGAGGGGGAGCGAGGGCGTACATGTGGGAAATAGAGGGCGTGCAACGAGGGTTTTCTGCGGGCGTGCAGGGGGACTGCGGAAGCACCGCCGTTGCAAGAGTGTGGGCGGGGGTGAGGGCAAAAGACGCGATCAGCGACGCCAACGGAGGCTGTCGCGAGACGCGGAGGCAGCGTGGAGAGAGAAGGTGAAGTCCCTCACGCCTCCTAGATCCTCATTGTTGGTGATTTGGAGGAAAGGAGGACGCAATGTGAGTAGAAAGGTGGACGTACGGTGAGTTGAAAGGAGGACGCAAGGTGAGGAGAGAGGAGGACGCGAGGTGAGGAGAGAGGAGGACGCGAGGTGAGGAGAGAGGAGGACGTGAGGTGAGGAGAGAGGAGGACGTGAGGTGAGGAGAGAGGAGCACGCAAGGTGAGGAGAGGGGAGGACGCGAGGTGAGGAGAGAGGAGGACGCGAGGTGAGGAGAGAGGAGGACGCGAGGTACAGGAAAGAGGTGCACGCATGGTGTGGAGAGAGGAGCACATGAGGGGAGGCGAGAGGAGCACGCTAGGGATGGTGAGAGGAGGACGCGCGGGGAGGCAAGAGGAGCGCGTGCGGGGGGGCGATAGGATGCCGCGCGAGTGGCGAGAAGAGCGCACGCGGGAGGCGAGAGGATCTCGCGCGGGCTTACCAGGCAGGTGCGCGCGCTGGGAGGAGAAACGTGTGCGTGTGCACGGGATTCCCGAGTGAGGAAACGTGGGCGCCCCTGTCAGGATAGTGGGAAGTCGTAGGGACCCGCATACGTCGAAAGTGGGTGGTAGCGGAGCCATTTCACGAAGCGTCGCAAGGAGACGGTCCCTCCCTTTAATCCAGTATGGTCGCATGTATTGTGAGGAGAGAGGCGCACGCAAGGTGAGGAGAGAGGAGCACGCAAGGTGAGGAGAGAGGAGGCCTCAAGGTGAGGAGAGAGGAGCACGCAAGGTGAGGATAGAGGAGCACGCAAGGTGAGGATAGAGGAGCACGCAAGGTGAGGATAGAGGAGCACGCAAGGTGAGGAGAGGGGAGCACGCAAGGTGAGGAGAGGGGAGCACGCAAGGTGAGGAGAGGGGAGAACGCAAGGTGAGGAGAAGGGAGCACGCAAGGTGAGGAGAGGGGAGCACGCAAGGTGAGGAGAGGGGAGCACGCAAGGTGAGGAGAGGGGAGCACGCAAGGTGAGGAGAGGGGTGCACGCAAGGTGAGGAGAGGGAGCACGCAAGGTGAGGAGAGGGGAGCACGCAAGGTGAGGAGAGGGGAGCACGCAAGGTGAGGAGAGGGGAGCACGCAAGGTGAGGAGAGGGGAGCACGCAAGGTGAGGAGAGGGAGCACGCAAGGTGAGGAGAGGGGAGCACGCAAGGTGAGGAGAGGGGAGCCCACGCAGGGTGAGGAGAGGGGAGCACGCAAGGTGAGGAGAGGGGAGCCCACGCAGGGTGAGGAGAGAGGGGCACGCGCAAGGTTGGCGATCGAAGAGCATTGGAGGTGAGGAGAGAGGGGCACGCGCGGGGAGGCGAGAGGAGCACGCAGGGTGAGGAGTGAGGAGCACGTGCGGGGAGGCGTGGGAGGCATGCAAGGTGAAGAGAGAGGAGAACGAGTAGGTGAGGAGAGAGGAGCACGCGTGGGGAGGCTTGAGGGGCGCGCGAGGGGAGGCGAGAGGAGAACGAGTAGGTGAGGAGAGAGGAGCACGCGCGGGGGGGCTTGAGGGGCGCGCGAGGGGAGGCGAGAGGAGAACGAGTAGGTGGGGAGAGAGGAGCACGCGCGGGGAGGCTTGAGGGGCGCGCGAGGGGAGGCGAGAGGAGAACGAGTAGGTGAGAAGAGAGGAGCACGCGCGGGGAGGCGAGAGGGGCGCGCGAGGGATGGCGGGAGGAGGCTGCGCGGGGAGGCGAGAGGCGGCCGCGCAGGGAGGCAAGAGATTCGCGAGCATTGAAGGCGAGAGGAGCACGCGAGGGGAGGCGAGAGGAGCACGCGCGGGATGGTGAGAGGAGGCCGAGCGGGGCGGTAAGAGGAGCGCGCGCTGTGATGCGATGGGATACCGCGCGGAAGGCGAGAAGAGCGCGCGCGGGGTGGCGAGAGGTTCCCGCGCGGGCTTACCGGAACGGTGCGCGCGCAGGGAGGGGAAACGTGGGCTTGAGAAACGGGCTTCCCGCGCGTGGAATCGTGGGCCTGACTGTCAGGATAGCGGGGCGTTGTGGGGACACGACGACGCTGAAAGTGGGTGGTCGCGGAGTGGTGCACGAAGCGCCGCAATGGGGCACGACGACGAGGAAGCGATGGGAGGGGATAGGGGTAAGGACGATGGGAGGGCAATGGCGACGGGGACCACGGGGGAAACGAGGGTGACGGTGCGTCAAGGGGGAGGCCGATGTGAGGGGATTTCCTCCCTACGCCTCTTGATCCTGTTTAGCGCGACGTCTCGTAATATGGGATTCGAGCATTTTACGCTTGTGACGAGCGCATTCCTAAATTTCGTGTTGCATCGGGGTTGAAGGTGGAAATGTGCTAGGGGCAAAAGCTTAGAGTCTCGCTTAGTAGCCGCACAGGCATTCCTGAATTACCATTTCTAGGCAAACTGTGCACAGGCAGTTCCCTTCTTCCTTCAGCAGGGGTGGTTGGAACTCTCGCCAAGTTGAAGCGTTCTGCTCTACGACGCGGTCTTTGTGGGGTGCGACGTTTTCTGGTAACCCCACTGGCTCGGGAGGTGTTCATTGGGCTCGGAAGGCAAACTGTGCACAGTTTGCCCTTTTTGATTTGTAATTCAGGTCTTGGGTTTTAACACGCTGGATGGGTGGATTGTGTGGTGGAAGAATGAGGGAGGATGTGGGAGCCTGTTAGCTGAAGGTGCAGTGAGGAAGGGAGCAACTGTTTCTAGGCACTGGGTATTTGTTATACACCCTGTCGGAAATGGCGACACGGGGGCATTGGCTCCCAGCACCTCACACGGTACTGGGTTGTACAAGCTGGTTAGAAGACTACACTACCAGCTTCACAAGCAAAGTTCTAGTACATTCCGTCAGAATGGATGGTGACGCTGGCAGTTGGAGCGGCTCTGGCTGGATTCAGACTCTGAGGGTTGTCAAAGAGAGTGTGGGTAGGGGTCTTGCATCCAGCATAATGATTGCACGGACAGAAATTAACCCTTTTGCTAACAGTAAGGAGGTAGCACAAATTCTTTCATTCCCTCTCTTGTTCTGTTGTCTCGTGTGTACAGTACACCTGGACAGACGTGTTCTGATGGCGAGGTGGAAGGTAGGACGGAAAAGATGACGGGAAACAGGTGCGGAATGTTGTAGTCTTGGCGGGTTTCCTGGGTGCGCGCGGGGGAAAACGGATCCGACGCAGGAGGTCGTCCTCCACCTCCCTCCGCCCGCTCCGTCTGTACGAGTGATGCTGTGGCGGAAAATCGCAAAGCAAAAACGAATGCCGAAAGTAGGTTGAGCGCAACCAGGATACTGCACCGCACTGCAAATAAAAGCAATCCTACAAGCTCCAGGATCAGGGTTTCAGCTGCCCAGAAACAAATACTTTTGCCTCCAAGTTCCCAGACGTGAAAGTAGACAACAAAAGCGGCAACAACCGAAGCCACCAGGAGAATGTGCCACATCAATACCATGTCCGACAAAGGCTTGAAAACAAATTAGTTGCAGTAATAATCCGAGTTTCAGGTGCTTCGACAGGCGAGGCGGTAAGTCGAGCCGCGAAACCTGGATTACTGTACCAGCAATCTCGTGGCAGCGTTGTTCTATGCGAACAGGCTGAGGACAGTTAGTGGAACAAAAACAAAGCCAGATAAAAACACGTTTATAATACTACACTTGGACACATAACTACACTTGGACACATAATACTACACTTGGAAAAACGAGTAAAACAATTAAGCAAATCTGTCATGAACACATAATATACAACCAAATAAATAAAATTGCTTCAAGCTACCCTGCGAAATGTTTCAGAGTGGCTTCGGCTTGCATAGGACCTTCGACACATACAAGGTCGATGAAGAGCACACAAACCCCGGATTGTACGTGTACATCAAGGAGTACAAACATCTGAACACTTTGCACGCAACACCTCCACACGTGTCGCCAGACACCACGGTGTAGTATCCATATGCACAATATAGTGCACCAACCACTGGGGATGCATCCACACAGACCTGAAAAACAGCAACACAATCAACATAAGCACAAGAAATGTTAATGTTCAAAGAAGAAACTCACTACGGCAGTGCTGCAAAAAAATGTGTTACCGGCACTCACATCTTGCCCAACAAGTCGTTGAGAGTCGGATGAGCATATAATCCCGGGGTTGTACTGGTACAGTTGTGCCGCGGATATTGGAGGGTAGGTGTTGATCATGACATCATTGCAAGTCTCCCCTGGATTCACGGTGTAATAATTCAAACAGCCCTGAGCTTCCGGTGTTCCAGACTTGATACAGATCTGCACAGGCAAAAAGGCACACCAAGAGGCAGGTGGAAATGGAATGCACGAGGGCTCGATTTTCAGTTCTTTGAGTGCCATTGCACTGAGCTTGACATGCCTATTACAACAAGAGCACCAAGACGACCAATACCAGCAAATGTGTACGCGCAGAAGCGAAGAATACATACACAACAGCAACGCACAGCAACCAGATGCCAAGCCACTTATCTTCCTCACCAGTTGTCCGGCGACGAGAGCAGTGCAATCGAGCTCAGGGTTGACCGCTGCAAGGCCCGCAGTGGTGAGGTTGAACACCGAGGCGATACTGGCGCATGTGTCGCCGGGAATGATGGTGTAGGGAACCACGCACGCGGTCCCGTTGACTGTGGAGTTCCTGGTTACAATCACAGTGCCTGCTGGGTATGTGCCAGGGCACTTGAGCGACTGCAGGGAAGACGAAAAGGGAGGGGAAGGAGGAGGGAGGGTGGAAGGGAGAGAAGAGGATGGAGGGATGGGAGAGAAAGGTTGAGAGGGGTTGAGAGCGATTGAGAGGGGCTGAGAGGGAGGATGCGAATGCCGGCAACTGGTTTGGAAAGTGGAATGTGATTGGCTCCTGCACTGGATTGATTGCCCAAGAGGGGGATAGGCGTGAGGGCGTGGGTAGTGGAGTTTGTTAGGGTTTGTTGCTTACAGGGTTGAGACTGGTGAAGTTGGCCTTGGAAAGGAGGTACGTAGAGCGAATCTGATTGCATGACATGTCTGCTGGTAGCGTCACCTTCACTGACGTCGCACCTGCGACACGGACAGGTTCCACAAGGGAGAGAGGGAGGGAGGGAGGGAGTGAGGGAGGGAGTGAGGGAGGGAGGGAGAAATGAGTGAGGGAAGGAGGGAAGGAGGGAAGGAGAGAACACACATAGTGGGTCATGTACGCAAGAAGAGCCAACTGAAGAGAAAAACAAAGAAACGACTTCCAGACTTGGTGTAGCAGGCCTGTAAGATGACTCACCAGGGATGCAGGTGGCAGCGCCGCTTGTAAGAGCGCCGAGCAGGTAGCCCGGAGAGCAGAGGCACGAGTAGCCGCCCTTGTTGTCGTCAATGCACGTGCCGAAGCCGCAGGGATTCTTTGCAAAGAACGAGCACACCTTGGCTGGAGTGGCGGGAGGTGGAGTGGGGGAAGGAGAGACGGGAGAGCGGAAAGGGATAAGGGTGAACTTCTTCCTTCTGGGAAGGTGGGCATGGGAGGGCATAGAAGAAGCACCTGTTTCCTAAAAGTCTTAAAAGTATTAATGAACGACCTTCACACCTCAATAAGAGAGAAAGGAATGAGGGCCCCTTCCGCTTTGACTGCCAGTGGCACTCACCAATGGCGCACGACTGTGTCAGGTCGAGATTGGTAACTGCGACAAAGTTGGTGGGACACGTGCACTTGTTGCGCTGGTTCTTGTTGCCTGTAACCGCCGTGCACACGCCCCCTCCGCACGGATTGATGGGCTTGCACGGGTCGGGGGAGACGATGGAAGGGTAGAGGCCTGGCAGGGTGTTCATGCCGCAGATGCCGGGGCCGCCCGCAATGGCGATCTTCATGTAGCCATTCTCGCCCCACGATGGGCCCCATGAGTTGCGGATGATCCAGTGGGGCGTCGCGTCCAGCAGGTTGAACCCCACCACCACCACCAGATGGTCCACCAGCCGCGTGGCGTAGCAGTTGGGATCCGCGTAAACAAAGCCCTGAGAAAAGAAGAAGCAGAGCAAATAAGAGAATGGGAGGTAGGGTAAGGAGCCAATACAAAGAAGCATATGTTGTATATGTAGAAAGGATCACAGCTGAAAAAGAATCATGAAGAAGAAAAATCAAACAAACACGACAGAGTGGATCTGGCCCAAGCGTCTGTTAAAACACCCTAGCCAAGGGCAGAAGATGCTGTGAAGGAACTTACCCCAGGGTAGGTAACAAACGAGGTAGACCGCGCCTCGATGTAAACCACCACAGGCTGCTGCTGCACGGCAATGGCCAGGCCCAGCCACCCGCTGATGCCCACGCGCTCAAACATGGACACGGGGAATGGGGCTGGCGGGAGGGATGGTGTCACTACATCCTTTTTCGGTGCTGCTGTTGTTGCATAGCCCGCTGTTGTCCGTTTGCCGTTGCTGCTGGGGGTATGAGCCTTGAGCAGACGGGAGAGGGTGTGAGCAAGCGAAGCAAAGGAAGTGGGAAACCCAGTCCTTGTCGCTCTCTCAGCTTCATCTGCTTCATTGAGAGACAGCCTGCGAGAGAACACCGACCGCCGCGCAAACCCTGGCTTGCAGGTGCCGTTGTTGGCGACGCCGGTGTAAGGATGCGCGGAGGAGTTGGGCAGGCCACCGGAAGCGGCGATGTAGTTGAAGGCATCGTCGGGGCGGCCGCCCGCGCAAGTCCAGGTGCCCTGGCAGTCGATGGCCTTCTGCTCCGCCAGGCTGGGCGCCGTTGCGCCGTACACAATCGCATACAGCGCCTCTGCCGCCGCCACCGGCGCGAATATCCAACACGCCGAGCACAGCCCCTGGTCCTTGGCCGGCTGTAGCGCCAAAGGCACCCGCGCCCGCCAGTCCAAAGTCGGAGTGATGTTCCAGGTGGGGTTTGAGATATTGCCGGTGAAGCCGAGAGAGGCGTAGCGGAAGTAGGGGTTGAAGTAGGTAGAGGAGATAGTTGCTGCTTGATCCAAGTTGGCTCCTCGATTGTCTGGGTGGAATCGTGAGCAGCAGATAGCAACACGGATAGAACGACAAAGAATTAGTTAGGACTTTCGTTATGGCGGGCAGAGGCAGGCAGGGAGGGCCACGAAAGGCAGAAGAGGAACGGAAGGGGATTGAGATGCGGATGCAGTGTAAGATGAGGTTGGTGTGGTGGAGAATGGAAGGAGGAAAGGCAAGGCTCACCTCTTCTGCGCATGGTGGTGTTGTCCACAGGAGGTGGTGGGGCTGGAAGGAGGTGAAGTTAAAGGCACACGCAGGGACAAGGAACGGGAGTATAAGTGGGTGGAGAAACGGAAGGACAGGAGGGGAAAAGGAGGATGGTGAGGGTTAGGTGAGAGGTATGTAGAAACCACACAGAAGAGACCAGGTAGAAAGAGCACCACCAGAGAGGGTGACTTGCAAGGGGAAGGGCAGCAACCAAACCATGCCACCAACAACAGAAACAACAGCAACCAAGCCAGCAACCAAACAACAGCAACCAAACAACAGCAACCAAACAACAGCAACCAAACAACAGCAACCAAACAACAGCAACCAAACAACAGCAACCAAACAACAGCAACCAAACAACAGCAACCAAACAACAGCAACCAAACAACAGCAACCAAACAACAGCAACCAAACAACAGCAACCAAACAACAGCAACCAAACAACAGCAACCAAACAACAGCAACCAAACAACAGCAACCAAACCAAGGGCTCGAAGACCCCTGGCTACTCTAGACAAATCTCGAACAAAGGCTTTGTTTTTTATTCCAGAGCTTACGAGGGGGAGGTGGACCGGGGTTGGGCGAGTTTTGAGGCGCCTCAAAATCCGCGTGCATTGAGGTGTGGTTTGAGGCGCCTCAAAACAAATCTCGAACAAAGGCTTTGTTTTCTATTCCAGGGCTTACGAGGGGGAGGTGGACCGGGGTTGGGCGAGCAGGAGGGGTACGCGACAAGGCTCTTCCCGACAGTAAGAGTCAACGTGAGGTTGAACATGCCGGCGTTGCAGGCGCAGGTGGGGGTGTTGGAGGGGCCGGAGAGGAAGCACGTGCCGAGCCCGCCGCACGGCCCCGCGGGGAGAGCCGCGCCGCAGAATGCCACACACTCGATGGCTCGCCGCTGCGCCCCCACCGGGCACCCCGTCCCCGCGCTCGCACTCCCGCCGCTGCTGCCGCCGGTGTTGTTGCCGCCGGTTGTTCCTGATTTGGCGCTCACGCCACCACCACTGCTTCCTCCTGGCCCTCCCTGCTTTGCATTACCCCTGCGCTTCTCGTTCACAAAGCTCTCTGTCACGTTCCAGTTGCCTCCAAGAAAGCAGTTGCCCTGCTGACTGCTGTAAGGCGAGACGCCGTAGATGAGAAGATTGGCAGAGGCGTAGCGGCCTTGCAGGGACGAAGGGCAGAAGGAGACGAGAGTAGCAGTGGTGTTGGCGCCGTTGCTGCTGCTGCTGCTGCTGCTGTTGGTGGTAGTGTTGGTGCCTTTGGTGGTGCTGTTGGTGGTTGAGGTGGTGGGGGTAGTGGTGGTGGCTTTGGCGGAGTAGGAGGCGGCGGGGGAGGAGAGGAAGTTGCCGGAGAGGTCGAGCGTGGCGAGGGAGGTGTTGGCCATGGCTGGCGACGCGAAGGATGAGACGGGCGCCCCCGTGAACTGATTCTCGCTCGCGTCCCTGCAGGGCGGAGAATGGAGGAGAGGGGAGAGGGGCACACGCATTGGGGAGAGGTTGGGAGAGGGAAAATAGGGAGGCGATTGAGAAACGGGGGACGGTGGGGAGAGGTGAGATGAGAGGTAGCAGCCTGTGGGTGGCTTCAAGGGGGAGGAGTGTGAAGGAGGAAGGGAATCGCGAGCGAACAATAACGCTTTGCTATGTGGAGGAGGAGGAAGAGGAGGGGGGAGAGGAGGAGGAAGAAGGGAGGAAGGGGGGAGGAATAGGACGAGTACTCACAGGAAGAGAAGGGAGGGGAGGGCGCCCAGCGCGGCTGGGAGCCTCCCATAGAAGTTATTGCGACTCACGTCACTGCATGCAAGAGAGGCAAGTGAACAGGAAAGAAAAACGGAAAAAGGAAAACGCAAGGATTGCCAATTGTCATTTGGCATGGAAAGGCGAGGGAGATGAGAGGGGAGGAGAAATGTTGGCGGCGATACGGAATGGCCAGGAAGCAACAACGAGAGGGACACAAGAGGAGGGAGGACGGGCGTACAAAAAAAACTTAGGGGTGCAGTGCAGCGAGTTAGACGAGAAACGAGGACCATGCATGGCTAGTACTTCCAGCTAAGCAGTAGAGCCCTCAAGCATGGCTCCCGATCATGCCACGTACAGTGCAAGCAGCGAGGTGAGGCCAGAGATGGAGTCGGGGAGAGTGGATGAGATGCGATTGCCTCCGATCAACCTGCACATTGCGTGGCAAGGCACGCAGCACGGTACGGCAAGGCACGCAGCACGGTACGGCAAGGCACGCAGCACGGTACGGCAAGGCGCGCAGCACGGTACGGCACGGCACGCAGCACGGTACGGCACGGCAGAACGGGGCAAGCCACAGAGAGGGCGGTTAGTACGGAGCAGGATCGAGCCGGGGGAGATGCTGATTGGGATTTCCAGCCACGGGTGTAAGGATTGACGGCAACGTATGAGTCATTCCGATGGTAGAGTAGCAGAGAACGCAAGGAAGAGCAGTGGGCAGGGCAGAGAGTTGCCAAGAGCTCTGTGATGCGGTGTGAGGTAGAAGTGAAGGAGCGGCATGCGAGGAGTCAGTCATTACAGATGCACGAGGTTGGAGAGGCTGAAGAGGGACGCGGGCAGAGGGCCTGTGAGCTGGTTGGACCCGAGCGCGCTGCAGATAGGAACGGAGAGGAGAAAGGCAGGGGAGGGAGAAAGGCAGGGGAGGGAGAAAGGCAGGGAGGAGAAATGGAGAGAAGGGAAGGACAGAGAAGAGTGAATGCGGTGCAGAGCGGGGAGTGTTGTGGAATAGCAGGTTCGCTCGCTCTAGGTCCTGAAGCAAACGAGGAGAAGCAAGTAGACAGACAGAATCAAAAGAGATCGAGCTCCGATGGAGAAAGCGTGGAGGTGGAATGAAGGACAAGTACGGAAAGTATAGGGAAGGGTGGCGTACAGAGTGGTGAGGAGAGTGAGAGAGGCAAAGGCGTTGGGAATGGGCCCGGATAAGTCGTTGGAGCTCAGATCGCTGTGAGGGAGCCATGGGGGTGGGGTTGGAGAGGGTGGGGGTGGAGCAAGGGAAGATGTGTGATGTGTGAAGAAAGGGAGAAGGGGACATGGGATGGCGTGCCTTGTGATGACATGGCATGGCATGGCACTTTGCAAGGAATCTCCAGCCAGATGGAGGGGTGGATGGAGAGCAGGAGGGCGGAACGAGGGCGGAAGGAGGGCGGAAGGAGGGCGGAAGGAGGGCGGAACCAGGGCAGAACGAGGGCGGAACCAGGGCGGAACCAGGGCGGAAGGAGGGCGGAAGGAGGGCGGAACCAGGGCAGAACGAGGGCGGAACCAGGGCAGAACGAGGGCGGAACCAGGGCGGAACCAGGGCGGAACCAGGGCGGAACCAGGGCGGAACCAGGGCAGAACGAGGGCGGAACCAGGGCGGAACCAGGGCGGAACCAGGGCGGAACCAGGGCGGAACGAGGGAGGAACGAGGGAGGAAAGAGGGCGGAACGAGGGCGATGGTGGGCGTACAGAATGCGCAGCTTGGCGAGGGTGGAGAGAGACGGCGGGATGGCGCCCTGGAGAGCATTGCCACTCAACGAGCTGCGGGGGATAGGTCAAGGCGAGGGGGGCAGAAAGCGCAGCGCAGAACGGAACGGAACGGAACGGAACGGGAAGAGCAAAAGGGAGGGCGACAGAAATTAGTACGTGAAATGGCTGCGCTTTGGGAAGCAACCTTGGGTGCGGCGAGGACAGTGGATGGTTGAACTGTGGATGGAAGAGAGGGCGATGAGGAAGAGAAGACGGTACTACACGGACGAGCGTGGACGGTAGAGGCGGAAGGAGGGGAGACGCTGGAGGTGGAAGGAGAGGAGAGGCGAGGCGAGGAGAGGAGAGGAGAGGCGAGGCGAGGAGAGGCGAGGAGAGGCGAGGCGAGGATAGGCGAGGAGAGGCGAGGCGAGGAGAGGCGAGGAGAGGCGAGGCGAGGAGGGGCGATCGGGAGGCGAGAGAGGAGGAGGGCATACAGGTTGGTGAGGGCGGAGAGGTATCCAATGTTAGGCGGCACACTGCCCACCAGAAGATTGTGATCCAGGCTCCTGTGACCGGGCGGCAGAGCGGTGGGGAGGGTGGAGAGGAACGGATGAGTAAGAAGAACATGGAGAGGAAGCAGAGAGAGGAAGGGGAGCGCAAGGAGACACGAAGTAGACGGGGGGGAGATGTAGAACGACGGGGGGGAGATGTAGATGAAGCGTAGCGGGATTGATTCACGTGGAACGACTCGCGGACTGGGGAGGGGACTGCTGGAGGGTGGGGAGGGGAGGGAGGACTGGGGAGATGGAAATTGGGTAAGGTAGGAACTGGGGAAATGCGGACTTACAGCCTCTGAAGTGCGGAAAGCTGGGTGACGGCGGCGGGAACGCTCTGTCCCGCAAGCTGCCGCCGATTGGAAATTTCCCTGCGCACAAAGAGATGGAAAGAAAATGCGGGCGAAAGCGTCAGCGAATCGAGCGAAACCGTGCACGACACGAATGTGAGTATAATTCGAGAAGACATTGGTTGCGATTTTTTTTCCAAACTTCTTCGCCAAATTTTTTCGCGTGGGCATTGATTCCGCACGACACATTCTCCCGCTCAACGAGTCGCGAAACGATTTCACGACGGCACGGGAACCTCCAGGCTAGGCACGCCAGTTGATTTCGCCACTTTCTTAGAGCCCCAAAACTTCCAGACCACTGTGAAGCGAAGAACTGACAGCTTTCGTTTCTCCGCATAACACGCACGCTCCCACTGTAGCAATTGCAACCGCAAATCTTCGTAGTGTTTGAAACCTGCGAGGAACTGCGCCGAAACCAATGCTGCGGTGTCTCGTGCACTGCACGATAGCAGGCTACGTAAAACTACTACTAGGAACTAGCAACCGCTTTCAACCCCCGAGGTCGGATACACGCGGAGTGCGCGGCTTGAAAAGAAGCGGCGGCGGCCGCGCGTGTGCTTCGGCTCGCCGTTAAATACCGACGCCGATGCGATGACGCCGTTAGTACCACTAACAATGGCTATTGACGACGCGAAGCGACGGCGGGCCCGAGGAGCCGTAGATGAGGTGAGCGCAGAGTTAAGAGAATATCTGCGGAATCCCGACAACGATAGCGGGAGTGCTGCGGTCACGGGGTTCTACTACCAGCGAAACCAACACTAGCGACGACCGTCATCGCGACCAGAGTTCTGGTAACCAGCCTCACAAGTTCTGCGCGGTGGTCAGCTTACGGCGAAACGTTGCATAAATAAGAGCCATGGAGCGGCGAACGGTGCGCAGCAAGTGCGCGAGGGGGAACTCCGCCACTCGCACATACCACGTACGCAGTCTGTAACGTACGCAGTCTGTGTGCGCAGTAACACATTTGGAAAGAACGCCTTTGACAAACCTACGCCGCTGGAACGAAGCTTCGAAAGAAAAGCAGCTCCCAGCGCGCCTCGCGCAAAGGGTGCTGAGTTGCTGCTGACTTTGAACGCTCGAGTGGCCTGACGCTCACGCAGAGAGTGGTGACTTCGCGTGACAGAGTTGAGCGATTTTCTCAGGGAGGTAAGTCACACACAGGGAGGTGACGTCATGCAGGTGAATTTAATGCGGAGTTAGGAGGAGGAGGTGGGCGAGACGCACAAGGAGGTGACTTGGCCCATGGCGTTGCAGGCGAGCCCCTGCCATTGCGCGCAGGTCGGCATGACGAACCACGTGGCGTTCAGATTGAGCGCCGCGCCCCACACGTCCATTATCGCCGCCAGCGCCGGTCCTGCCCAGTGCGCGGATGGGGGGGAAGGGGGTTGTGTGGATGGGAGCTCAAACCGTCTTGATTCAAAGGAGTTGTGTGGTTGGGAGTTCAAAGTACTAGTAGTACTCTCTACAGTAAGAGCTCGCGCAGTAAGCTAGACTACGTCACCCTCATAGTAGAGATGCTAGGAGAGACTAGCTGCGGTAGGTACTGGACTCTGCTTTTACTACAAAAGGACTATCATATGCTTGCTGGCAGTGGCCAAGCGATCGAGGGGATTTTTACACTGGAAAAGTTAGCGCTAATCTGCTGCGGCCGATTCCGCGCTAGTGCACTGATACTATCCACGAATAAAGCTGATGATTGGAATAGGGTGTGGCTTACGCTGACTGTCTGCGACTGCTTGGGCTCGTGTGCGAGGAAGCGCTACCGACAAGGCTAGTAGGCATGCGACGAACAGAGCGGTCGAGCAGCCATGCCGCGGCGACGTCCGCCTGGTTACTAGTGTGAGAGACCGTTGAGAAGCTAAACAGCGACGGAATCGATATCGCCGACAGTCCGCCATGATTTTTTTAATCTGTGGTACTATCTACGCTAGAATCTCATGTAAGTCAGAGAGCAAGGACCTCGCGACTAAATCTCAGCCGCTGAGCGGTTCGTGTATTTTCGGGTTTTTTCCCTAGGGACAGGGATTGCGATGGTCGACAGCGCGTGGTAGAAAGGAAACCGTCGAAGTTAACGAACGGGTACTAGCTAGAGGAGGTACGTGAACTAGGAGATCGTAAAACGTGAGCGAGTGATTGTTCGTGGTTTTGTGCGGAAAGCTGGCCTTCATGGCCGAGAGCTCTGGATTTGGGGTTGGAGAAATGTTCTGACCGCAGACTCAGGAAGAGAGAGGCGCACGAATGGCAGGAGCAATTGCAGAGCAGACAATGAGCTGGTGCGTGTACTGGGGTTGTCCACATGAATGATGGAGCGACGGGTGGGATGGGCTGGCCTCGGCACGGCAGAGGGGGGCAGAAACGATGTGGGTTGTGGGTTGTGTGGGGGAGCTGTGGTAGGTGGTTGTCTTCTAGCTGTTTGTTAAGATGGGGGAAACTTTCATTTCGAGTTAGCTGTTCTTTCTGGATTTTACTTAGGGGATGCCAGTAGTTGTTAGGAACGCGTGGTTTGCCATATTTTGCTCGGTTAAACGAGAGTCTCGGCAAAGTAGCCTGGACAGAATGTCTCCCATCACGGAACTAGAGACGAAGAAGACTTTCCGGAAACCCCCACAGTCATGAGGGAAAGTAGTTTATGAAAACTAAATGTAGATACACGTGGTTAATATACCGCAAGCCAGGTGTATAAGACGATGCGGCAGCAGATATCAAAACCACGTATCGCAACGAGAGGATGAAAGTGAACTCTGGTTGTCTCCCCCACGACACTCAGTAACTTGAAGAATCAGGCCGAGAACTGTACAGCTGAACCTCGGTTAACCTCCAACCATAACTTCAGGAACGGACTCCCCTGCTGTGATTACATTCACCAGTTTCGGCTCGTGTGCCAAAATTGTTGCACATGAGTGGTAACAGATACCACGTAACTGTAATCGCTGAAAATGCATAATTGCCCTGAAACGGAATGGCGATGTGTGAACATTGGTCGACAACCTAAGTTCGACGAAATGGTGGCGTTGTCGTGCTTGCTGTCAACAGAGTATTCGGGACTCCAATCGATTGATTAGTGCGGTTGTACGAACTTCGAATACGAGCTAGCTGCACTTCTCTGAAAGTAACTCAAATGTAGAGAGTGGTGCAGGGAGGTACATCTCAGGCGATAAGTCGAACCAGCTGCTTTTCCGACAGTCCGCGGGCAGAAAGAACTCCCACGGTGGCTGACGCCATACCGCCCGGGATAACATTGGCTGATTCCGGACTTAGATAACAGCAAACTGTTTCCCCCTCTGTCGCAGACCATAGATCTGGGAGGGACGCAGCTCGACACAGTTATCGGCTTCAGCAAATACTTAACCCTGGAATGACACTGGTGAAAGTGCAAAATTCTTTTGTGACTTTAGCCTATTAAATTTGTATTCCTGTCACTACAATAAACCATACAAACACACAGTGCACCTGTGGTCCACCTCAGGAAGGAGCTTATTTGCACATCGCTGATCAGCACCAACGTCTGTCGCAGCTCATCGCTTATCTGTACGAAACTAAGCGAAGCGCAGAGATTGAAAGCTGCGATTCGGTCGCAAAAAACAAACATGCCACGTCGATTCTGACCCACCTAGCCTTGAGATAGAGGGTGTTACACCTGGTCTGCCGTACAGTAGTGGACAGCGGTTTTGTCGATGAGTTCAAGCTGGTCACTACTGTTACAGATGCATATGGGCTACGAGCGAGGACTGTACTATGGAGGTAACGTGATAGAAGTTGTTACATGTATAATTGTGTTATGAGTGAACTTGGAGTGTGCGCAGATAAAACAAATAACGAGACTTCGATTAAAAGGTTGATGATACAAAGAAAGTGGCTATGCTGAATAGGGGGGATCCTAGCTAGGAAGTAAGTTTGGGCAAAGGTGGCTCGAGAATGTTGTGATTGGGGCTGGGGCAACTCGGGAGTGTTTTGGGTGCGGTTTGTAGGCCGAACCGGTTGGTCGTGTGGCCCTTGGATTGTACTCGATAAGCTCTGATATAATAAGGATTTTTTCATCCTTACCAATCGCGATACCTGGCTGGGACTCAGTAAGAAGGTGAGAGAAATACGAGCATACTATTGCGATGATATGAACGACACGATAGCAGCAAAACGCAAGATGATGAAATGCTTCTTGGCGGGAATTTGGTGATGGGGTGGTTTTTCCCCCAACACACTAAACGGTGTTCTTTCTTCCTATGCTCAAGGTTGATTAAGGTGAAAGTTTCACAAAGAGAAAAACATGGAGTATCACGTGGAGAAACTGCATTCGAACTCGAGCTGCAAGAGCAATCGATTCGGTGAAATTCAAGTACCGAAATTTACCCCCTTCAAAATGTTACTCAGACATTCGCGATATAAAATGTAGCGGTTCGGGGTTACTTGTGTGGCTCGATGTATTTCAGTTAATGTAAATGTGACCGTTTTGTATGCACATTTCAATACGGAAATTGATCATCACTTTGTACGTCGTGCATTCGTACCCAAATTCCCGAGAGCTCATATTCTTGCATATAATAAGGGTTCCTTTTCGCTCTGGACATGTATCCTTAGAAAGTGTCCAAATCACTTTTTGCCCGAGTCGCCCTCAATTGTCTCGGAACCTCATGTCCCAATCGAGCAATGTACTGCGAAACAGCACGACCGAGCAAAAATTATATGTGCACGAATCTGATTGGTTATCTCTGAGAGTGGCCCACACATCTTGCGCGTCACACGCACCTGCACAGCAAGGCCCGCAACAAGACCCAAGGGGATTAGCGTAGGGCGCGATCAGGGCGAAACTCTGTCCTGCCCCAATAATTGTCACAAACAGAAATACTACGCAAACAACACCATTCACTAGCGCTCTAAAAACCAAATATGGCGTAACTAGGGCCATTACACACGCAGAAACTAGGCAAAATGGCCGAGCCAAGGGCCATTCCCTTCATCCTACGCCTTCTTGTCGCGTGGGTCACCTACTTTTACACAATCTTTTACGAATCTGTTGCCAAATCCTTCGTCGGCATGATAGAGGCCGGTGTACTCGAAGACAAAGACGAGACGTCCTCGTCTCTTGGGGATGACATCGGGGATAACCGCCGTCACCGAGCGAGAGTACGTCGGCATGCTATGCTCTGTGGCTTGAAGACCTGCAACACATGCGGGAGAACGACATCCAAGTTATATTCAGAATCAACCGCGCTATCCTTGAGCACATCAAGACGGGCATGCGGCAATGTCTAGAACCGGTACTCTATCGTACAAGGATAGCGGTGGACACGGCATTGCTCGTCCCAATCAAATGTCTTGCAAGCGGAATCTCCTACGCCGACATGTCATACCTGTTCGGAATATCCAAGACACTCTGCCACGAGCTCGTCGACATCTTCCTAACCGAGTTCCCGGCCGTGTTCAAGGCAGCCTGGGTGCGCTTCCCGTCTCGAGATGAACTCCCGGAAATGGCGCGGGAATTTGCAGCCATCAAAGGTGTACCTGTGGTAGTGGGGGCTGTTGACGGGACTCACATCCACACGAAAGGGATGGAGGGGCACAGGACCGGGTGTTGGACAAGAAAGTCGGCTTATGGCGTGCAGCTTCAAGTCACGTGTGATGCACGTGGAAGAATATGGGATTACCTCATTGGTTATCCTGGCAGCGCGCACGACCAGCGCGTGTTTAAGAACTCTGCAGTACTAGAGAGGTTACAATGAGGGGACATAGCCCCATACCAGATTGTTGGGGATGCGGCATACCCGCTCAGAGAATATTGCCTAATCCCACTGCATGCCCCGCGCGGAGAGGACCAAATGGACGATTGGGCCCAGTGTTTCAACTACTGCAAGAGCGCTACGCGCATGGCTGTAGAAAGGTGCATCGGCGCCTTCAAAGGAAGATGGCGCCTCTTCGCCGGGCGCAATGTCTGCAGGTTATGGAGCATACTTGCCGAGGCCGCATGTTGCGTGATCCTGCACAACATGTGCGAGGACATGGCAGAAGTTAGGCGAATGAGCATGGTATGGTTCAATTTGCCCCGCAACCGGGATCCATGGTGGACAAGGGGTGCCATCGCACAACATATGTGGGAACCGTGCGTACCCCCAACGCAGCCGGTGTCAGAATATGTTCTTTGTCTAGCCTGCAGTGGGGTACTCAATAGTGAGTACAACCCTTTAGGGTTTCCTATTTGTACCAACCTGCCTGCTAGTGCAATCATTTCATTTTTCTGTTTCTATCATTCTCGATCCTGCTTGGCACAACCTTCTAGTCTCACTGTGGCCTAGGCTACTAAGCCTAGGCCCTACTTCTAGTGTTTCTGATATGGTATCTA